TTTACGAACCATAATTTATTATTCAAATTATCTGTAAAAATTGGGTTCCTTTAGGATTTATTTTTCTTTCTATTTGTAAGTGTCGCTACACTTATTCACACAATACCGGAATTCCGGAATTCTGCAATGGTTTAAATTCCGGAATTCCATAAATTTCATTTAAAAGTATTTTTTTAACACCATTGTTCGTAATTTGTATGTTACTATACCGATAATTGTTTTATAATGAGCCTTGTTACCGACCAAAAGCAACCTGTTGCTGCTGATATTCACATTACCGCACTCTTAGGTAGTAATCAAAAGTAACATGCGCCTAACAGAAAGCCGCGGTACTCGCTTCGCTTGTGCCCAATGTCAACGTCGTGCGTTATTTTCAACTTAGCATACTTGCATTATGATGTACTATTACGTAACCATTTTGTTTTATTTTTAGAAAAAAATATTATCTTTACGGAACTACTGGGATATTTTCAAATTTAACACATACAGCAGACATACTGAAATCAAATGAAAATGACGGGTAAGTAATAACGAATTCAATCTATATAGACTAATTATTATTATATACAATACTCATGTTTGCTTCGTTTTATTACCTAACTAACCTTTTCATTTCATTTTCAGAACTTTGAATGATTCTGAAAAAAACACTTTTGGGTTTTTGATTTACCAGTAACCCTAACAAATACAGTCAATATTCCGAATTCAAACTATAGGTAAATAAAACTAGTATCACGAAAGAATAATTATAGTTTATAAGCCATGTAAATGTTATTTCACTGTTTTTGTATTCCTAATAAATCTGCATATACATATATTTATTTCAGTGAAGCTGTTGACCCCGAATTACATACGTAAAAGACATGTGAAATGTTGTTTGATTGCAATTTTTCACATATTTCATTATTAGGAGAAAGAAGAAGTGGATTAATATCAAAATTTAAATTAAAATGTAACATGTGTCAAAAGGATTTCAACATCACAAGTGAAGACACATTAAATAAACACGACGTTAATGTTATCATGGCTGCTGCTATAGGAATCACTTCTGCTGGTATTGGTTATTCCCAATTCGAAGAAATGACAGCATCCATAAATATAAATATTTTTACAGAGGTCACATATTCAAGACTGCAAGACCAAGTATATGAAAAATAAGAATTAACAGCTGTGGATTCTATGGCGGTAGCAGCTAAGCGTGAGATAGATGCCGCAATAGCAGAAGGTAAGTTAACAAGAGACGGTATACCAGTGATAGATGTATATGCCGATGCATGCTGGTCAGCGCGATCATATGGAAATAATAATAAGGCACTATCCGGAGCCGCAGCAATAGTTGGACATAGATTTGGTGAAGTCATTTTTTTGGGTATCAAGAACAAGTACTGTCTTGTTTGTGCTCGAGCAGAGAAAAAGCAAACTTTGGCCGTTCTTTGCCTTTCAGAGTCTCCAGGTCTTCTCCAAACACGGACACGTCCGTTATCTGGATGAGGACTGATTCGCGATTCGTCAACGAAGAGGCAGTTTTGCCAAATATTTTCCTCTTCGTCTTCTTCGTTTTGCCAGAGCCTAGCCCACTGCAATCTCCGTCGCTGACGTTCTCGTGAATTCAAAGGTGCTCGCCAAGACGTCCGTGCTCGTAATCCAGCCTTGTGTAAGCAATTCCGAATGGTCTGAGTGCTAATTTCAAGTTCGGAGGCGGTCCGTATTTCTTTTTTAATTTAGTGGCGTTTATTGTTAGGTCGCGGGCTACCAGCAACCTGATGTAGCGCTTCTGAGTCAAAACAGTTGGGCGACCGCTGCAGGGTCGATCAGCTAAATTATCCATGCTCTGCACCTCTGCAACGTGGTTACTACCTTAGATTAAAACAAAAAGGGTAGATACGGCACTAGCCTCACAAAAGTGATCCGCATGAATTGTGGTCCACGACCCTAATCGCTTTAGTCACAACTTGACATGCAAACGACGTACGTGTGAACGCCAAAAAGAAATATTGCTAATATAAATAATGAATTTTGTGTTTATATGATAAAACAATGCCTAAGTGTTTTTAAAAAGTGCTCAAATTGCTCAAGAACTAAAAATAAAACCCACAGCATCACTTTTCATTCGTAAGTACTATAAAATATATTTTTTCATAAAAATTGCTGTTTGTTTCGAATCTGATTCGGTAGTGACGTCGAGTAGATACTGTTCGCTATTGGTCGGTAGTGCAGTGACGCGGATCTCGCCGTCCCGTTTGCGCTGTTGTGGGATTAGTTTTTGTTTCATGCAAGTATGAGCGTACCGTATCTACCCTTTTTGTTTTAATCTAAGGTTACTACACAGGATTGGGATATGGCAACCTGCGTGCTATTTTTCTCGTAGAATAGCCTTCTTCCCTCAAAGTTACAATTCTAGCTCGTAAAACATCTGATAATCCTCGTGGTATTTTTTAAATCAAAACTTTCCGTGAAAATTTTTCTGATTGAGTGTCAGCTTGGATTGCATGTCTTTTTAAATGGAAAAACAACTGAATTATTTTATTCTTTTACGTTCTAATTCTAATTTTAAAATTTAACATCTTATCAGAAAAAGAAATTACAAAAAATCTTCTGTAACACAAAAAACAATCTATATTTCTAAGTGATCGCAAACTATTTTTGATGTGGATATGTACCTATTAGGTAACGGAAATAAAGACTGTTTAGAAATAAAACGAGCGTTTTAATATCCTTTGATTTGAGTTCATAGTCAATACCGTGATCCCGTGATCACGGTATTGAACGTGTAAATACCGGTATCGAAAAAATCCTGTATTTGAAAGCTAGTACAAGGTCTCCCGACGTAGGACTTACGCAGCCATGGCGTAGTCGTTGACTTTCAATAAATGCACTGTAAATGCTCATATTGAATAAAAATCATTTTCTCTTTATCTTTTATCATATTAAATAATTTGATTGATCGAATATTAATTTATTTCTTCAATAGTACCTATAAGATGGTTTAAAAATTTTGAACTAGTGAAAATTCCGGAATTCGGAATTATAAAATACAGAATACGGCCATCCGGAATCAGTCATCAGAATAAGGAAGTCAGCGAGCTGTGCGGGGTGAGACGGGGGCGCTACGCAGAGCCCCCGCCCGTGTGTTAGCCACTTCGTCTGCTTCACTCCCTCAAATACCTATACTTCCACTATAAGAGCGCCTTAAACTAACCAATAATATAATAATATTTACAATTTATATTTTTTAAGCATGTAACTGCTTGATGTTTAAATCTAAAGGAATTATAACTAGAAAAAAATCCACGCGGACCAGGCAGCAGACGGGACTTGAACCCGCACCCTTCGGTATCCGGGCGAATGCACTGACCAATTATGCTACCGCGGCCCTGATGGCCGCGTCGAAATTCTTCTAGCCATTCTTAAGCTGCAAGGCAGCGTCATCTCTTCGCATTGTAGGTAACCCAAACTGTCAAATGAATACTTTTACAAGTATTAAACATTTGAAAGAAGAAATAGCAATTATAGTTATTATTTTTTATTTTTTAAGCATGTAACTGCTTGATGTTTACATCTAAAGAAAATATAACTAGAAAAAATTCCACGCGGACCAGGCAGCAAACTCGAACCAGCACTTTCGCTATCCGGGCGAATGCACTGACCCATTTTTTTTCTTCCTTCAAATGTTTAGCCTGTGCCAGCGCTTCTGAGCAGCTGTCAAAAGAGTTGGACGATTGCTGCGGGGTCGATCAGCTAAATTACCCATGCCTTGGTACCTCTGCAACGTGGTTACTACACAGGATTGGGATATGGCAACTCTGCGTGCTATTTTTCTCGTAGAATAGCCTTCTTCCCTCAAAGTTACAATTCTGGCTCGTAAAACATCTGACAATCCTCGTGGCATTTTTAATACACAACTTTCCGTGAAAAAATAATTTCAATTCGATAATATTTACTAAGTTAGATTTATCTATTTTTCAAAGTGACCGCATACTTTTTTTGATGTGTGTATGTACCTATTATGTAACGGAAATAAAGACTGATTAGAAATAAAACGAGCGTTTTTTAACCTTTGATTTGAGTTCATAGTCAATACCGTTGATCACGAACATGTAAATACCGGTAACCGGAGAGAGATACGGAAAAGGTTCAAGAAAAAGATGTTTGTCGAAACATGCATATCGATACTTATTTATGCAGGTAGTTTAAATCGTTATATCTCACGGTGGCTCTTAGGAAAAATAATTATGATACCTTTTTATAAATAATTTTATGATCTACAATTTTTGTTTGAGGTAACTTACGATAAAACTTACCATTTTGATGAAAATCGCAGAAAGTCCACTTTTTGACTTCATCATGTTGAAATGGGAAAATTTGATATATTATTTTTAACTATGTTTTTAACAATTATACCCACTTCCAGCTTGATGTAAATTAATCTATCTCTTATTTTTCTAATTTGACCAGATTATTAATTGAATTCGCATCACGATTGTTTGAAGATCGTATCGATTTATTCACTTTAATTGATGTTTTGTGGCAAGTTATCTCACTATGAAATGAATGAAGCTACTAAAACTGACAGATGTCAAAATTGTGTGGATTTAATTGGCTCTCGGTTTTTTTTGGCGGGATTTCATCGAGTGCGGTTGCCGTCTTATTTTGATTATTCTTAATTCGTTCATAGTGGATATTGTGAAATAAAATTGTGTGGTTTTGTGTAACAACTGTCTGCGTAACTGAAGAATTAGTGGAATCATTAAAATATACGCTATTCCGGTCAAGTGGACGTGAGAATTTTATTGTAGTGTTGACTACCTCACAGAAGCTTATCGAAAATGCCAACTCGATACATTTCGTGCCAAACACTCCAAGAAACATTAGAATGCGTCACACCGACATTCTAATGTAAAACAAAAAGAAGATTAATTTAATTAAAGACCAGGCTGTATGGGCATTGTTTCCTTTGCCTTCCCTAAAACGGGAGAACTTCAACAAAAAAAAATTAATTGGCTCTCGTAACCTACAAATCCTACCAAACAATAAAAGTACCTTAATTTAGAAAAGTAATTCACGGCTATTAACAATAATTTACAGAATTTTAGTTCTTTTTTTTAAACGGTGTATTAACACCTTTAGAATTCATACGACTGTGCTATCGTTTACTTTATTTTAAAATGTCAACTCGCTGGTTAGTAGTACATTTGATACCGCAGCGCATCTGATTCAAAGAACGTTAATTTATCCATTGGCTCCTACTAATGAATGGATGGTGGTGTAGCGAATTTCCACCGCTTAAACATTGGTCCGCGTCGCCAGTCTTATTGCCTTACATAAATTATATCTGCTCTGCAATATAACAACATGTAAATTACAGGTATCCATTATATCAACGCGGGAATCCACAGCTTAGAGTATTTTTACCTAATTTTTGGATGAAACTTATAAGGCCAACACCAAAGCAGCTTAAAAATATTGTGCATTTTCAATGTTCTATGGAAATGACCAAATGTGATATAAAAAATTATTTAGAAAAGATATACAATATCCCTGTGATTGATGTTAGAACAAAAATTACTATGGGTAAATTTAAAAAGGAGGTAGGAAAAGGGTATGTGATAAAGGATGATGACAGAAAAATAGCTTTCGTGACTCTGGTTAGTATACCTGAAATTTATGTATTATTATTTGCAAAAACTAAGAAACCTTAAATTTTGGTGAATCTTTTCAGCCGAAGAATATGAGCTTTGAATTTCCAGATATTTTTGAAAAAGTTAAGGATCAAGATGATGAAAATATGAAGTCATTAGAGGAAGCAAAGAAAAGTTTCAAAAGTTTCATAAATCGTAATAAAGATAGAAAAGATGTACCAAGTTGGTTTACAATCTGAAACTATTTTTACTAGTTACTAACACTACAGAAAGAATTTAGATAAATAGATGATTTGTTTTCCCATTATACATGTTTTTTATTGACAGCCATAATTCAAGTTATAAATACAGTTCCGAATTTAAACAACCCAGTGAAAACCCAGTAAATCAAAATTAAATTTGCAGTTATTGGGTGTTCGTTTTAGAAGACTTAAATATTTGAATTAGGTTAATAAGAAAATAAACCAATTTAGTTCGACAGTAGGAAACAGTTTTATTTACTGCTGGAAGTTACTTACATAATATTTTCTAATTAACAACTTGTGTCTCAGATGGTCAACAAATAAATTCAAATCAAAAATATCACTCCTTTAATAGTAACAATGTTATAGCACAATCAAAACGTATTTATTACAAAATCTGATGCATACAGAGATGGCCAAAAATCTAAACAAAACCAAGTTTTTACCAAAAAACTTGTTTGTTTACATATGGTCAACTACATTTAGTCATCATCAGCATCTTGTTCAACTAGGTAGCAATCAATGCAAATTTAATAAAAACAAAAGAACATCTTTTGTCTCTCAAATGACATTTGAGAATTTAGATTGAAAAAGTAACAACATAACTTAAAGTAGACTAATTTGCAACAACTATTTAAATTGCTAATTATTAGGAACTTCTGAAATATTCATCCAAAAATGCAGTGGAGTTGCAGTGTGGGCATTCAGCTATGTCCAACAGGAATGTTACCTACAGAAACAAAAATAATTTTAATTAAAAAAACATTTTAAGTTCTGAATATTAGTTACTCATTAATGAACTTTAGGAATAATTATTTGCTGTAATTATTAAGTAGGTAGGGCCCTTGCCTTACTTCACAACTATTCTATATTAAAAATTAATTAATTATTACATAATGAATTTGTGTCAGATGTGCAAATTTATTTTTAGTATTTTCAGTTTATCAGTATTTGAATAAGCTTTATATATATATTATATCCCATATACTGTTTTATTACCTATAAGAGGAAAATTAATTGAACCTGCGGGTAGTTGAAATTCTGCAGTATGATGCATGCTATGTATTCTGGTTTCAGTGTAAAGTACAAAACTTTGAATACCAACCCGCGGGTGTTCCTCGCACTTTAATCGGATGCGTCCATTACAGTAGTACCCACAGGCGCGGCAAAAAACAATTGTTTTCTCTCTGTAACACGAACACTTCTTGATGTAGGCATCTGTGATGAAAGGTACACCACGGCCTCTACGGTTTGAAGCCTTGTTAAGTTTACCAGCGGCAGCCGCAACCACAGGGGTGGTCGTAGTTTCCATTTTTCTGAAGTTCAGACACTACTAGTGTTAAAAGTCCTACTATTAGTCTACTAAATTTTAAGGATTTGGCGGTTGAGAGACAATATTAACATCTTGTCAACAGATTTACAGAGATTGTTTTCTCTTTGGTCAGCGAAAAAATCTTTATGCTATGTATGGTATGGGCCTCACTATTGCGATAACGCGAAGATTTGTGTCTGTCATGCTAGCGTACACCACATCAAGCACAGACTAATAAAGGCTACCATTCACAGGCGTGCCCATCCGCCGGATTTGTCGCTGGCGACAAGTCCGCGGACAAATCCGCTTGTGAATGTATTGGTGAGTGCGGCTGTGCGGCTCGCGGCTCGGCGCGGGCGGCGCTCGCCGTCGAGAGACGCGAGCGCCGCGCCGCACCCCAGCCGCGCCGTACAAATCCGTACGTGTGTGTGCTTGCACAGATTTATCGGTGAACTTATCAGTCATTTGTAGTGCGTATATAATGTACTCTATGTGTAGTGCGTGCACGCAGAACGACCTCTTAACTTGTTAATTCTGTATCACGTCTGTATCACTTTTTTGACGTTTATGCGATACTGTTTTAAGTCAAAAAGTTGAACATAATACTCATTTAAGTTGATAACAAGTTAATATCATTTTAAAGAGTTGATCATAATACGCTTAATACGATACTTAATACAGAGCATAATGCGACTCAGTGGCGCACAATGCCGAATTATGCTGATGCTTAATTGGAACGTGAATTAGTTTTAAAATGCACCAGCAGAGTGCGCTAAGTTCAGTGTTGAAAAAAAAATCAATGTTTGTACCTTCATCCATACTTATATTTATTTTTTAACACAGTTTGAATTACCTTTGATTATTTAAAAAAATACTATAATGAAACGAAAGCTTTAATCATTTTTCAACAATAAATAATATTACTAACGATAACATATAAATAAAACACCTTTGACTGATTTGTTTCTTAGGTTTTCACGCACATCACTCATTAAATAAAACTAGTTTTTACGGGTTAATGCACGAAACTTTATTTATTTATTGACGTTTCGTAGCCTTTACAGGCTACGTCGTCAGAATCAAACTTTTTTTTTGCATTAACCCGTAAAAACTAGTTTTATCTTTGACTGACTTTGACCAGAAGAGAAAAATGATCGTCATGATGTGGAAAATACGTGGCCTTCGACTTCTATTAATAATTTTTTTACAACCTGTATATGCACTATTTGGGAGACGCTATTATGACGCCACCACGGACCAGGAGGATTAAAGAAAACGAGCGTAAGGTATTTGAAAAGTTTCGGCGGTAAGAAATAACAAAATGAAAACGTAAGCGATAGCGATAGTCATAGCATTTCCGCTAGACGATTGACCCCCTGAAAAAAAGACGGACGTAACATCAAACTAAAACGATGTGAAGTATGCAAGGTCCTACAATTTCGTTCGATGTACACTATTTACACTTACACAAATGCACCCAGGTCGGACAAACCGCTGGGTGCCATTTGACTCCGCGTGACAGCCTGTGGTGACAGCGGTAGTCACACGTTCAATTGCTCCTACAGTTTTTTTAAAATATGCCATCTTGTGTGATGATGTCATGTAAAATCTGCAAGGGTAAACTTAATAAGCCACAAGGAATCACGTACCATGCGTAAGTAATGACAAATCATGATAATTTTTAAAAATTATATTTTGTTAATGTGATGAAAATTCTAAGCAAAAAATACAACTGTGTGGCTACTTTTTTACGGGAAAATTTTCCTAAAAGTGGGGAAATTTGTATTTCCTGCATTTGTGACTCGGTAAGACAAGATTTCGAAACTTTTTAAGGTTGTGTATTCCAAACGGAAAACAAACAGAACCTCTTGCCTCTTTTTTATGATTACTGAGTTTTTTTAGTTATTCGATACTGCAGATGAGAAAACAATTGGAACCCGTCAACTGCCAGCACTGTGTGCAGTACTACTAGGGGTTAGTGCATTCGTCTGATCAGCGGAACACGCAGATTTGAGTCCTACCTATAAAACCTTGACATTTTTTTTTATAAAATTAATTTACTATCATTGAGAGAAAAAACAACCGATTTTTAATAATATTTCTTTATTATAACTGTGTGAGAAAAGACATTAATCAGAATCTAGCCCTTCAATTCCGCTCATCTCTGCATTACCGCCGGAGTAGTTATGAATAATCATGCAGGTCACATATGAAACATGCATCCTTTAAGTTAACGAAAGTTTTAAATCGAGTTTCTGAACGCAACATAAAGTGACATTTGGTTGACGATTTAGTAGAGCTGTAGCAAACCGTATGTATTCGGTACTGAGTAACGGGTGCTCCATCTAGTACCGAGTAACGAAACGTTACACACAAATAAATTTCGTTATTCGCACTTTTCGTAGTGTGACTATCTATATGTTTCAGTTTACGCAAGTACAGTTGATGTGTGTATAGAAACATTTGCTGATCGTATGTTTTAAGAATGCGCGAGCATATTCGGAGAATTTAAAAACGTTTTTGGCCGGATTTCATCGAGTGCGGTTGGCGTCTTATTTTAATTATTCTTAAATTCGTTCATAGTGGCTATTGTGAAATAAAATTGGTGTTATTTTGTGTTACGGTACTAAATTCCATTAGTTGTGGTGGAATTTCGGGGTAGTTTTGATGTGGAAGAAGATAAAGATTTTAGTCGGAATTGCATGTTTTTTTTTAATTAACCTAACCTAAAAATTCATAATTTTTTTAGGATGCAAGGACTAGGGAAGTAAGAACCAGTAGTTCTGCCTTATCTCCGGCGCTGCGGGAATAGCAGCCCCGCCGCCTTTGCGTGACAAAGTCACAAGCATCACTCTCCTTCACACCTTCGGCTTGTTGGTCGCCGCCGGAGGTGGTACGACGTTTTTTAACACACTTTATAGTATATAAATAGTTTATTTAGAGAAACAATTTGTAAATGTGCAGTTAGTAAAATTAGTGATAGGTATCTTCACTAAAAGCATCTGGCCATGGTTCGTTATGTGCCCATTTCTTTCTTTGGTCGGCCTTGCCTGTTTTCCCAGGAGTTTCAAACTTTCCATGATTCTTAGAACCTTCGTTGACTATCCGACTCTCTGATTTTCCTGAAAAAAAGTAAAAAAATATGTAACGGAATAGAAACAATAACTTATTGACATGAAGCAATTAATTCAAAATTGGTAGAAAACCAGACCGAGTTGAACCATAATAACGTATCAAAAGAAATGGTCGTACTACAATATTACCTATTTACAATGTCAATCTAACCTAAAAATGTGCAATGTAAACAATGCCTTTTTTGGTCTCAAAATCGTAAATTGAGTAAATTTGTACTTCAGGCAGATTACAAACAAATAGTTACACGATTACATACCCGTCATAGATGCTGTTCGCCCATAAACATCATCCAAATCCCACAAAATTCGTCCAGCTTGGTAGTCTTCGAAACATCGCTGGAAAACTTTAAAAATCACTTCCCGCGTGCCACTCCGATTTACTTTACTCATTTTTATACCTTTCTGCGTAGTTTCGTCTTAATTTATTACAGTTTAATCCAAACAATAAAAAATACACAACGAAAACTGTTCCACAACTGAAACTCGATGACAGCTGATGTACATAAGTTTGGTGTTGCCAGACACATGAATAATGTTAGTTTCTCAAACCATCATGTCACGACTTTATAGACAAACTGTAGTTTAATAATATTTCTATTCCTAATTAAATGATTTTAAGTAAATAAAACAATACATATTATTTGATCCTGATTCAAAGCCAGAGATATAAATATATTGAGCGAATTTAGAAAAATCAGGCAAAAACACAGGTGAAATACAGAATATGGCTCTAGTCTGCTCAAAATTTTGGTTGCTCGTGACAATAACAGAAAGACAAAGTTTAAACAGGTATAGTGATATTATAATTACTATTTCGTTTAGTTATGATTTGAATTATTGTCTTAATTTTGTATGTACATACATTATACCATATACGAAGACATTATTTATTATCATATACGAAGGCGTTAATCGCAGACAAGCACTGTATAGCCTAAGAATTAATTAAAAATTACTCAATATTTATATACAAATAAATGGATTGCAAATGAATTTCAATAAAGAAAATTGATAATTATAAACATTACAATAGCTAAAATACATAATAACGCTTTTTTTTAAATATTTTCCCCTTTTTTTAATCACAAATTTCTAGGATTTTTTTTTCTTGAAGTCATTTAAACGATGTAAATTAAAAGTAGGCTCAAGTTTTTGATATGGATTTCATAGGGATTTATTTAAAAAAATGATATACGGATTTTAAACGGAATTTAGCGATTTAATTACTGGAACACCGAATTAAAACATGAAAGACTATATTCAGTGGACTGTGAAGTTGTGATGTGGCTGTGCCTACTTAATAAATACAATTTCTCAATTAAAACGAGTATGAATAATGAATAAGAACCAGTTTTGTGGATACACGTACATATAGGCAAGAATCTACCTTATTGTCTTGATCTTGTTGTAACAAAATAAGCATATGGTGGGTCAGTATTAAAATTGGCTCATTGTACATGTATCAATCCACGGATCGGAAACCATAGTATCGGTTCCAAAATCGGGTAGATCGAATACCTTTGTATCGCACCACACCAGTATCGAGTTGGTACGCATCCCTAACCCTGTAGTAATTGAGAAAATGGCGGTGGCACTGTCACCCGATCAAGAATTGGTGAGTTTAAAATTTTAGTTATATGGATTCGGTTAAACTTTTGCCAGTTATATTTTTTTATATTACCGAAAAAACACTAAAATACTAATTGCGAATGAATTTAGGTAATTGACACTTGATAATAACTTACGTCCTGTAACATGTCATCAATGTTTGTTTTGATTCTTGTAAGAATATATTTACAGCCGACCTACGTATATAAAAATATCCCCTTGGTAATTATTTGTTCTTTAATTCAAGATCTTAGTTTATTACCTACTAGGTATTGGCCTTCATATGAGATTTATCTTAATATTTAGCTTCCGCTGCAATGACTTCGGTTTTTTATTGTTATTAAAATTGTTATTATGATTTCAACGTTCGATCTGGTTTTGATTTGATGTAAAACCTTTTGGTGGTGTTGTGTTTCTGTGGGTGCAGTAAGGTTTCAGGACACCACAGGGTATATTTTAGTGCTATATATATATAGTCTTATATATAGGACAACAATTCAACATTTATTAGAAAAACAATAAATATATCCCATTACACAAGTGCAGTTTCAATATTACATTACAGACAAACAATCAGTTTTAAGCTATGAACAAAATAATGGTCAACTAGTAATAGAAAGTAATAGAAACAACAACAAAAAAGTATAAAAAACTTTTTTTTTTAAGTATTAGTATTGTTATTTACGAAATAGCTACTATATAGCCTATTAATAGTTATAATTAATATTTAGTGGCGTATCCTTTATTTTCAATAAATTAAATACTGAAGTGTACTGCAGACGCATTTTCCTGTCATGATTTGGTGTATCTTCCTTACCGTATCAGTCCTCCCAAATTAAAGCCTACAGTTCAACTTCAGCGCAGTTTTGCTAGGATTGATCAAGAACAATTGCTCAAGGATGCTGTCAACATAGACTGGTCCGCAATATTTGCTAATGAGTCTGTTGACAAACAAATTGAACTTTTTAACCCGCTACGGGTCAAGTTGTATGAAGTGCATGCTCCTGTTTCTTCTGGGAAAATGAGACACCTGCCGGCTCTGTGGTTAACTGATGAGATTCGTAAGCTAATCTCAAAAAAAAATTCAGCTAAAGTGAAGTACAAAGTTGATCCTTCCAACCTAAATGAAACAAAATATAACCATATGAGGAATCGGTGCAACACTGTGACCAGGGACGCCCAAAGACGCCATATTCATAACTCTGTTGAAAATGAAGATCCTGTCAAAGTTTGGAAATTTCTAAAATCTCTCAGGTTGGCAAATCTCGTAGCATTAATCCTGTTAATAATCTTGATATCAACCAACTTAATAGTTATTTTTCCAGTTCACTGCCACTTGATGGGGGCTGAAACTTTACAACGTCTTTCTAATTTGCCAACTCCAGCTTCTTCCTTTTTCTTACATCATTTTACTGAATGTGATGTTAAGAGATCCATTAAAACAATTAATTCCAGTGCTGTAGGAAGTGATTCCATGAGTCGAAAAATGATTCTTACCATCCTCGACATTCTAGATCCCATTATAACCCATATTCTCAATACTTTAATTTTATGGGTGTGTTTCCTGCAGCCTGGAAAGACGCCAATGTTATCCCGATTCCTAAAAAATCCAATCCTGCCTCTTTTTCAGAATATCATCCTATTTCCAATCTTCCCTTCCTTTCCAAGGTCCTGGTAAAACTTGTATATCGACAACTTATTGTTTTCCTTAACCAGAACCAACTCCTTAACCCATATCAATCTTGCTTTCGTATGGGTACATCAGCACATCTACTGCACTAGTTAAAATTACAGATGACATTCGACATGGTATGGAAAAACGCAAACTTACACTGTGGACATTGCTTGACTTCATCAACACCTTTAACTCCATTGATTTTGACATCCTTCTTGCTATTCTTCGTATTCTTAACATATCTCCAAAGGTGATTGATTGGTTTCAAAGTTACCTGCTAGGGCGCCGGCAGCGTATACGCATCGAAGAAAACTTCTCTACGTGGTGCGATATCGATGCCGGTGTTCCTCAGGGTGGCGTCATATCTCCTTTACTCTTCTCTATCTTCATAAATTCTATCACACACTCACTTTTCAGTTCCTATCACCTTTACGCCGATGACCTTCAAATATACACACAGGCACCGTTATCTAACCTTTCAGATGCAATAGCAGTTACTAATTCTGACCTTGCTTTGATTAGTAACTGTAGTAAATCATTCGGATTAACTGTTAACCCCGCGAAGACGCAAACTATTTTAATCGGCAGTCCTTATTTCGCTTTGAGGATCAACTTTGAACGGCTGCCTGCTGTAACTTTTGATGGGATTGTTATACCCTTTTCCACAACTGTCAAAAACCTTGGTGTGATATTTGATCACTGTTTCCCTTGGAAACCTCAGCTCGAAGCTATCAGGAAAAAATATTTGCCGTATACAACTCACTTAATCGCCTACATAACTTTTTGCCGACCAGTACTAAAATCACTCTGGCGCATACTCTTTTACTCTCCATTCTGGACTATGCTGATGTATGTTACACTAATCTTTCCGAGGAACTGCTAAGCAAGTTGGAACGTTTGCAGAATATGGCTATCCGATTTATATATAATGTCCGTAAATTTGACCATGTGACCATGTATCACACTTCCGCTCGAAACTCAACTGGCTCCCTATTCGCCGGCGTAGGGACTTACATACTCTTACGCTTCTTTATTAGTAAAGTACAGTTTACTTACCTACTTCTCAACCTTATCTAAAACAATGCTTCTCTTTTCGTTCATCCTCTTCACAATGCATTCTTCTTCAATCTCTAAATACCCTGCCATTCAACTGATTTCCTTTCTTACTCCTACTCTGTGCATTCTATTCGCTTGTGGAATTCATTACCGGAATCCATTCGAAGGGCTCGCACTGTGGACTCCTGGCTCCGTGATCAAGTTAAGCGTCATTTCCTATCCTTACTTTTGAAAATACCTCTCCTTTCTTTATTTATTTGTTATTTTTTTATTTTTTTGTATAAATATGCATCTTATTATTATTATTACCTTTTTTATTTTATTTTAAAATATTGTTTTTACACCCTTCCCTCTTTTTTTGTTCTTATATACTTATTTCATTTTCCGTCATGGGTTGCCTGGAAGAGATTGCTATTAAGCAATAAGGCCGCCCATTGTGTAATGTCTCGCTGTCAGTGTAATCTTACTGTTATGTCCTTTGTGGTGTTATACAATAAAGAATATTATTATTATTAAAATTTTCTAAGGGGATTGACTTCCACGCTTCAACAAATGCTTCATATACCTAGTTCGTTTTGACTGGTGTAACGTTTATTTGTGACTTTCTTTTTACAATATAGCAGAGATTGTCTATCGGGTTAAAATCCGGATTATTTGCTGGTCAGTCTAAAACGGATATACGCTGTTCGCTAAGGAAACATTGGACGCTATTGGCCGTGTGTTTAGGGTCATTGTCATGTTGAAAGATCCTGGTTACAGGCAAATGATTGTCCGAGTAGGGAATCATTTTGTGCTCTAAGATGTTTTTATGTTGCCATTGATCCATTGTTCCTTCAATTTTCCGAATGGGTCCAACTCCACATCCTGAAGAACAATCCCAAACGGCAACGGCTTCTGAATCGCGCTATCGTTACGTTATTATAAAGAGTAAGCACTTGAAAAGATCGGCGGTTAACATACTCGTATGTATAAAAAAAATGATTATCGAATTGATTTTGAGTTTGAGACGCAGTTTGACTTTGATTTAGGTATTTTAGTTGAGAGAGATAGTCTGATATTAATGGATTTTGATAATATCAGAAAATAAAGACTCTTGCTCAAATATATTGTGGTCACGACCGGCAACTAGGGAACCCTACATTACTCGTGGCCGGTTTTTTATATGTTGCGTGCATGCGATTTGCGTTTGTCGAGAATTAACACAGACTGAATGACCTACAAACGTCGTCAGACGTGTGTTCGGCTTGTGGTATTCCAACTGCTGATGCATCTGTCGACGTCCGCTGACGCATCCGTCGACATGTAGAGGAGGCAAGAGTCGCACAGCGAGTGATGGAGAGAGCTATGCTCGGTGTTTCTCTACGTGATCGAATCGGGGATGAGGAATTCCGTGTAAGAACTACAATAACCGAAAAAGCTCAACGGGTCGCAAAGCTGAAGTGGCAATAGGTGGGGCACATAGTTCGGCGAATCAATGGACGTTGGGGTCCCAAGGTGATGAAATAAGAAAACACAATTAATATTTTTTTGTGAATGTCGGATTCCAAATTCAAATGTAATATTATGTTTCTTTTTGTTTATATAACGAGTGGCCAGACTAAGTATATTGTGAGCAGTAGCCCGCGTGTACCCGCTCACGGAAAACAGGAAATACATCCCGGAAGAATTAAATCGTACCTCCCGCCGCCGCCGGCCGCTTATTTGCATCCCAATACCCAATAACATCACTTCCCTGCTCTGTACCCGACAAACGGGTGCATAAAATCCTCAGTTAAATCAGTGAAATAGTTGTAGTAGTTGACACGTGCCTGAACAGGAAATTAAGTAAAATATATTATGAATGAATAGGGCGTTTCGGTAAATAGATGTAGTGTAAACGTTGTAATTGAGAATTCGTTTGGTTGACGATTCACAGTCGATGACGATGCGATGAAAGTGTGACGAAACAGTGAAACCAAGTGCCTTTTGGTAATAGAATAGAACCGTGCATAATAAATTAATGGATGGATGAAGACTTCCTTTTGATGATGGAGAGAGTGTTCTACCAGCGTTTGCTCCAATTTCTGCGGGTATTTAATCATTTACTTTTCTTTCTTTACTGTGATTTTTTTGGTTAAGGCAAGGCTTGTACTTACTTAATAGTTTGAATTAAGTGACTTAGGTATGAGTGACGATAAAATTCTTAAATTAATCCTTCGTTTTAATGGTAAAAAACCTTTCGTTTGGAACTTTTCATTTGGAAGTCGGGTGGGGTCAAGATTGAAACATTAAATAGATTTTCGATTTTGATCGGTAAAAACATAATGCGATTCAAATAAGAATAGGAAAGACAATGAACTCCAACTGTCAAATATGGCTTGAAAAGTAAGGTTTTAAAAAAAATCTTGGAACCCTTTTTTAGCACTGCTAATTCTAGAATAAAAATCACACATTTGTTAACAAACAATAGCAAATATTGATAATTAATATTGGTTGATTTTTTTTTTCATTTATTGAGCTTTGGCTGTGAATGGTTGATAACCTAAACCGTCAACCAAATGTCACTTTAAGTTGCGTTCAGAAACTCAATTTATAACTTTCGTTTACCTAAAGGCTTACCTAAAAACTTTCATAACAGAACAATTTAAATGCTCAGCTATTCTTCTGTACGCCCACTTATGATCCATATGTAAATTAACAATTATTTGCCTAGCTGACGCGTCAAAACTTTTATTTTTGCCCATTTTGAACAATATAAAATTTAGGTGGAATTTTGAATTGCCGCCCAAATAATAGAAAAAGCCAAGAACAAGAACATACTCTACTCATGTGGTATTACTACATAAGCTGGGCATAAGCGAGTACCCTTGTACGCGGTTTTAGTGGGGGTGCTCTGCGTGTTTGAATATGTTGTTTGTTTGTTTAAAGGCAACAAAAGCGTTCTTGGACGTGTTGAGCGAGTCGGGAGCGACGTGCGTGTCGCGCGCGACCGCCATCAAGTTCCTGTTCGCGCGCAAGTTCGACGTGACGCGCGCGCACGCGCTCTGGCGGCAGCACGAGGCTACCCGCCGGCGCGAAGGCCTCAACAAATTTGAACCCTTCGAGGATCCCCTCAAGACAGAATTGGAAACAGGAAAATTTACCATATTAGTAAGTTCGGGGACACACTTTTTTATTTCTTACACTCACACCGATTAGCTGAACCTTAGGTGAGTACTGTAAGGCTTGTGTCGTGGGATACTATGGTAACTGATAGAAATTCATTATTATTATTATTATTATAATATTAATAATAAATATCTACACTAAACTATTGATTGTACTATAACAATATTTTGTTACATTTACTTACCTACTCTTTTTTATCTTTATTTTAGTCATAAAAATAAACCAAATTGTTTATTATTGTAACACACTATCCCAATATTACTTAAAATCATCATCATCAACCTATGTTCGTCCACTGCTGGACATAGGTCTTTTTATTTACTATCTTACTGGGTATATTAATATACCCAGTAAGATAGTAAATAAAAATAGAATTTCTCTTTGTAAGGGATGCGCCCATTCTGTACATGACAAAGTATATTATTTTTGCTAGGTTTATAATAACGACACAAAATTGAATTTTTTGCTTACGCTTTTGAGTGCTTACCAAAATTTTACTAAAAATTGGTGACCAATGGCAATTCCAGCTTTTATACATGTATATATTCGGCTTTACCATTTTTTATGTTGTTCCGAATTATAAAAATTGCAGGCTGATCTAGAAATATTTAATCATTTACTCATAACGCAACTTTTCACATTTTAAGTAGGTACCTACCTAACTATTAGTCTAATTAAGTCTAGGGGTATACATACAAAAAGCTCAATAAATGGACCCCTAAGTAACCTAGAAACTAGTAAACACTGTATTATCAGGGTTAGTGATTCCTGGGTCGATACTTTGCAAAATTGTAATTTAAATTTAATAGGTGAATAACTTTAACTACAGCTCTTGTGATGGTATACTATATGGTGCTGCCCAATCAGCTATCTTAGATAACCGATTTCATTTGTTTGCTTACAAAGACACGAATACTTTACTAACCGTTAAAATAGCACCCATAATTAAATGATTATAATTATTTGTACATCCGCAGCCTACACGGGATGCTACTGGGGCAGCAATCGCAGTATTTACAGCCAACAAACATTTCCCTTCCCTTACCACTCATCAGACAACATTACAGGTAATTTTATCTTATTCTATAGACAAACTCGCAATACGAATGAATAAAATACATAAGCATACATACATTGACATTCCAAAGTAACTTCCCAATAACTATTCGGTGTCCAATGACTGGCAGTTTACCCTATTAGAAAATTATAGAGATATGTAGTTGCTTGCGAACTTTCCGGTGCAGATGATATTTTCTATATAGCAATAACGACGCACTATGCTTTGGTGCAGATAATAAGTCTATCTACGACTTAAAATATTTCTCGTTACACCAATTGTAATTAATCATTTAAGTGGTGTAGATTCTGGCATGATTCTCTAAAGTAAATTTAACATTGACTAAGTTAATGTCTTTAGAAATTTCCAATTACATGTTATTTGACCTTTTATTCCAATAAGCGAACTCTTTGGAATAGCAAACAAAAATCATTTCTGTGTCAGAAACTGGAACGAAATACTGTTTAAATTGACATTGATCAATCTGGTCAATTTAGTGGGAAGTGAATTTTTGCCTGTTCCTACAAGGTCGATTTCTGGTATTTGGTACATTAATTGATTCAGATTTTCTACTTTTTAACCGACTTTCTTAAAGGAAAAAAGTATTTCATGCCCAATGCCCCATCATTGGAGCACAGGCCTACCCTTAATAGGCCGACACCGAGGCTTAACGTGCCTTCTAAAACACGGAGGAGCTCAAGATAAGTTTTTGGTCATCCATCCAATGACCATTGCGAAAGTTGCTTTACTTCCACGATCGCGTAACCACCTGCTCCTCTAGAAAAGTAAAACTAAAAAGTATATTGCACAGTCGTTTTAATTAAATCAAAATAAATATACATTGGTGGACCATCAATTAGAAAAAACTTACTATGATTTTTCTATTTAAATAGAGATTTAATTGTTGGTTATATTTGGAAACTGGCGAACAAAACGGTATAATTACATAAAATTAAATTTTACAGGAGCTATATAAAAGTGAATGACATACCTCCAGTGAGCTTTTGGCATGGTTTTTAATTTATAAATTTTGTATTAACACTGTTTTAGGCGGTTTTGATTGAAAGTTATTTGAAATTCAAAGTCCGAAACCTCCGGACTGTAAAAAAAAGTCGTTTGACCAGATGCGTAATTATACCGTTTTGTTCGCCATCTCCTAATTTATCTTATTTAATCGTATATGAATATTAAGAGAGTAGTGCATACCGGCATTAAGGGCTCTTCTGTCAATGAGTGCTTATAGTTAAACAATTTATTTCATGAAGGGAGTGGTGTACCAGTTAGACGTCGCGCTTCAGTCGCTGGACACGCAGCGCGCGGGGCTCGTTTTTATCTACGACATGACAGACTCCAAATACACCAACTTTGACTACGAGCTGTCACAGAAAATCCTTACACTGCTCAAGGTTAGTTTTCCTCATACAAAAATGCCTTCTTCTTCTTCATGTGCCTCTCCAATTAGGATAGCTACACACATAATCGGGTCGGCATAGTCGGTTTCGGCAATATTTGTCGAACAACAAAGCCGACCCGTAGTAATTACTGCCTAACATTCATCTACATATATTGGATTTTACCGCCGGAGAATTACTGAAGATTGACCATCATCCTTGACCTCACTTTGTCTTTGGAGAGGTGAAACAGTTCCGTGGCGCTCTTGATTCCGGTCCATTTCGGGATATTTCGAAGCCACGAGTTTTTACGACGGTCTACTCGACGTTTCTCCGCAATTTTGCCCAACATAATGCGTTGCAGTAAATCGTATCTGTCGTGTACGAAGAGGTATGGAGTATGGAGTTGATGTAGTAAGTGTATGCCCATTGAAATCCATACAAAGAATAGCAATCGTATGAGTTGAGGCGGTGCTGGTCAGGTGACGGGTGGGTCTAATGAGCTGTGACCTTAACAGTTATATGCCCAGTTTTACTTAACAGTTGTTAGGAACGCGCAGCCCATTCTCTTTGTTAATAAGCTATAATCTACATACCAATTTTTATCCACAATGTGAATGTACAATTTGATTTGTTCTTTTTTTTAAGTCCGGGATCTCAGAACCCATTTTTAAGCATGCATCTCCACTGTGGTAGCTAACAGGGGAGCAGATATAGAATTAGTCGATTTGACGATAAAAATGACTCAAAAAAAAAAGAAATTAATAACTGTGGAGTATTATTAAATCTTAGGGTCAATTTATACTAGCGCAGAGTCGAAGCGTATTGAAACGTAAAATTCTGCACAACTAAAGCGAAGTTGTACGAAATCGCGCGTATTCGCGGGAATATGCGCGTATTCTTGCGAATACGCTTTTATCAGCATCAGTGCTATTGCGCAGGCTAATTTCCGACTGACGACGCGTACGTAGGTTCGTTAGTGACCGGGCGGATTCGCGAGAATGCGCGCGCACCAATCAACGTTGGTCACGCGCAGACGCGCGAATTCCGTCGAATGAAAGCGCGTCTTTTTAAATCTCCGAAGTAATGTATCCAGTCCGCTGTGGAGATAAGGTCGAATTTGTTATGTAAATAATTGGATTTACGCATCGATGCGCTTCGACTTAGCGCTACTATAAATTGACCCTTAAGAAATTAATTTACATTATTGAATATAATATTTGTTCTACAAAATGTATGGCTCGATAAAACAGTGCTTTCCTTCCAACATAACGAGTTCATTATAAATGATAACAGAGTTTTTTTTTACTGTTACTTGGTTTGTTTGTTTTATTGTTTTTTAATATTTATATAATTTAACAGCCACATTGTCATACAAATGCGTGTGGTACGTTATCCCGCTCCTACTATGTTAAAAAGATGTTGTAGAGATCCCTGATGTAAAATAATTACTATCAATCTGAATCTTCGTTAATAGTGAAAAGCTTCGTTTCGATGTGACGCTCAACAATTTCCGTTAGAAAAAATTTCGAATGTGGTATAAAATTTTGAAGAGGATTTCTTCAACTCAAAACAAAGTGAACATGCAGAACTTCCAATTAGTTGATTTTTAAAATTTGACAAGTCAACAATGCTTACACACAGGCCACTGCAAGTTACACGCTTAATCGACAAGATGTTTGTTGTATCATTATGTGGGATTCCTTTATTCCGGGTTAAAGGACATGTAATTCGGTTAATCATTCACGTTTCTAAATGTAGTTAGTACTTGTTTCAATTTAAGGTATTTTCTCGTTAATCTAATAAAAATAATTAAACAGGTAAAACCTTAAGACTGTTTCTGTACGCGCACAATCAGGTCACAATTTTGTTTGATGCCAGTTGTTTAAAAGATTATCCAATTTAAATAATAAAATTGCTTCAACGTATTTTAGTTGAAACATATTAACTATGTTCTATATGTTATTTATATTCAGGAGGCACACACTGACGGCTTTTTTTATGTTCTTTCCTTTCGCGGGCCTACTGGAAGAAATTTCAATATGAAATAAGCAGTGCCCTTGTACAAATTTCTTGTTCTTGTTCTATTTATCTGTTTTATTGTGTGTGTACTAAATTAGTAAATAAATAAATAAAATAAATAACTTCACAGTTATTCGATATTATTAAGAGGCTTTTTCCATTACCCACATTTATTTAGAAACTCCACAGAAAGTGGATAATTTTGGGTCGAATCATCCTAATTTACTTAATGTCAAAGTAAGCTACATTTAAGAACAAATATTTGAATTTATAACATAAATAAACGTACCTGACGTGATTTTCTGGCAGATAAAGGAAACGCGAAGGTCAAATATGCAAGCCTTACGTCGTGTGATGTAGTGTTGTTATCGTTGTGTAAAGTTTAGTTATAGATCGCGTTTGGATTAAGAACACCGCCCGATACCCGATACCTGATGTAAGGTCAGGTAGTTAAGAGAGAAATGTAAGCAAAGATAACATGAATGACAATAAAAATATATTAATATATAAATAATAATATTGAATTGTAACAAAATAAAGATGTAGAAAATGTAAATAAGACCAGATATGTAAGTTTAATATGCAAAACAATATCAATTGATGTGATAAAACAAAAATACTATAATAATCAAACATATAGAATATCAAAAGATGTAGGGTAAAATGTAAATAGCGTGAAGAAGAACCAATAGAAATGTCAATAGATACTATATGCAATGAAAATAATAATATAGTAGAATAAGAATATTAATAGATACAATAATTAACTGTGTACAAGAAATTATGCACGAAAAAAACAGACGTGCTTTAAAGCAAAGAAAAAAAGGAGAAAAACCTGTGAAAGACAAAAAAGACGGGAGTAGTGTATTATAAAAATAAAATAAAAAAGTCGTTACTTTTGTTTTGTCACAAGAACTGTGTCTAGAAAAGGCGCGGAATGACGAATGAATGACAAAAATAATAGGTAGAAATTCATAGTGATGTGACGAAAAGTGAATAAAATGAATGAATGGTATTTTATTACTGGAAACTTTCAACCAGATTTAATTAATTGCATCTGCCGATATAACAGCAAGTTGATAAAACAAATATACATGTATAGATTTTATAAGAAAACAAACATTCAATCATTCACGACCTATAACTTAACCGAACAAAATCTTACTTTCGACGTTGAAATATGATAATATGTATAAAAAGTACTTTATATCGATGCAGGTAAATAGCTACATAAAAATTTAAAACAATACACAGGTGTCGATTCTGGCATATATGATTCTCTAAACTTAATTTAACATCAGTCTCTCCTTTTCATTTTGTATACAGAATTTTATATTTTTAATCTAAAGAAAATTTTATTAGAAATAAATGCACGCGGAGCAGGTAGCAGACGGGACTCGAACTCACATTAACGAGACATGTCGGCGGGTCACAAATATGCTCCGTGCCCTCTATAGATAAAAAAAAAATCTCCCTGTTCACACAAAAATCTCTTTAATTCAGGCTCTTGTCCATCTATAGATTATGCTGATGTGTGTTATCCTGACCTAAATTAAGATATTCTTGGTAAATTGGAGCGGTCTCTTAACAGCTGTATTCGATTCATATTCAGTCTACGGAAATATGATCATATTACTTCATTTCGCCGTGAACTCAATTGGCCGCCTCTTTCAGACCGTCGTGATTTAAGAATTCTCACATCTCTTTTCTCAATTCTTTTTGACCCTAATGCTCCGTCTTATCTAAAGTCCAAATTTCAGTTTTTAAGTTCCACACACTCTCGTCCTCTTCGTTCATCTGAAAATCTTCTTTTGTCCATCCCCTCCCACTGCTCCAGCTTCGTATCAAACTCATTTTGTCTCCAAGCTATTCGTCTCTGGAACGATCTTCCGGAAAGTGTGAGAAAAGCACTCAGTAAACCTGCTTTCAAGGTCCTCGTACGTCAGTATTTCGCTAAGAAGTCATGACAATTTCAATTTCTATATTATGTTCAAACTCTGGTCAATCCGCCTAATATTAATATTATTTGTAATAGTATTTTGTTTTATTATAGTATTCTTAAGTAAGTATAGTGGTATTTATTATTGTATATATTGAGGTATTTATCGTATATATAAATAATATGTATATATATGTAGTTATGTAGGTATATTTATAGATGTTATGTATTATAATTTTTATATTAAGTATCATGTAGTTTTATCAATTTAATTTTTTTTTTTTTTCTTTCACCTTTTGCTATTATTTACTTTACCGCATAATGTCTCCGCTTAGCCCGATGGTTGACTGGTAGAGAATGCCATGTGGCATTAAGTCCGCCATTTGTTGTAAAATGACAATAAAGAGTAAATAAATAAATAGATACTTGTAAAGGTTCAATGAATTATAAATGTAAAGGTATTCATTTGACATAGTGGGTTACCTACAATTCGAAGATATGGTGTTGCCTTGCAGCTTAAGAAAGGCAAGAGAAAATTCGACACAGCTAACAGGGCCGCGGTAGTATAAAAGTCAGTGCATTCGCCCCGATAGCGAAGGGTACGGGTTCGAGTACCGATTGCTGCCTCGTCCGCGTGCATTTTAAATTTGATAAAGAAAACTCCGCCTGATTAAAAAGTAAGAATCTAGTCAAATAAAGAACAAAGGTACTTTAACATTCGGGACCAATTATTGAGAAAATTTGATCCATTCTAGAATATCTAATGGGTCCTGACTGTTGAAATAGTTTTGTTCCTTACTAAACAGAATTCTGGATTTTATATTTTTTTATTAAAAAACATATTTAAAGCTGGCGGATTTTCTGATTAATTTATTTTTTTTTATTCCAAATTCAAAGTATTTAAAAATATACATATTATAAGTATAATTTTATTTATATTTTCTGAATCGTAAAATACTAACCCTCAAAAATTCAAAACCCTTTAACTTAATACCCTTAATACCCCGTTTGAAAGGTCATAAGCATTTTTTTACAAGATGTTTCATTTTAGGGC